TCCTTTCTCTTCTTCTTGCACTATATTGCTAAAAATATTCAAATTTCATTTATAATTATTGCTAGCTACTATCCCTTCTATTTCTTTAAATTGGTTAACTTTATAAGTTGGTATAAATCCAAAATCTATTTCATAAATTGAGGATAGCAGTTCTTGTTCTGCTTTAGATCCAATTGTTCCGGTCATACCATAAATTTTAGGCTATATTTTTTAAAATATCCCATCTTTGAGATAAAGCTTGTGCTACTGTTTCTGATGCAAGTTTAAGTCCGTGCTTTATATATAAAAATTGTTGCAATCCATCAGAATATGTTTCATGCTCTTGCACTATTACTGTGCTTTTATAGTCAACCGGTGCAATATTCACATTTTTATCTTATTTTTTATTGTTAGATAATCTATTTTTTCTTGATATACATTCCAGCTTTCAATCGCAGATTTCACCATCTCTTCGATTGATTTAAAAAAAATTTTTTTTTAGAAAATCTGGCAGCTCTATCTTTTTTTCTCTTATTATCCGTGTCGTAAATTCTGTTAAAGATTCAGTAACAACATTATTTATTTTATAGATACTTGTTCCCTCTCCTAAGATGAGATTTCCTTCTTCCTCAATAAACACGCCATCAATAGAGCACCTCTTCTTTCTTTACTATCTGTTTGCTTATTCTATTTAACTCATTTGCTACTCCACAAAATATTGGATGTAAATGTTCAAACACTGCCAGTCTACCCGTTAGCCTTGCAGTTTTTTCACTGTCATCAATTATCATATTATATAATTCATCTACAATTTCTACTCCAAATCCTTAGTACCCATCCTCTTATGTACATGGCTCAACTAATCAAACTGAAATTGACTTACATCTTCATAAACCATATTGTTTGAATAACATATTTTGTTAAATTCGATTATATTTTCACCATCGAAGTCTATGTTTAGCGAATAGCAATCCTCCCCATCACCTTCATTAGACCCACAACTGATCCCTAATATTTCATAGAAACTTTTTCTCTCTTCAGCTCTCTTGTCGCTAAAATAGGGGAACTTGTAATTATATCTACGCTCTCTCTTTCCCTCTCCTGTTGAGACTTGTAACAATCTTCCTTGTTCCTTTGACAACTCAAAAAGTAATATAGCTAAAACCTGTGTTATCCTCGGATCATTTTATTTATTTATTTATTTATTTTTTACACTATACTGTATTTAAAAACGGACTAATACAACTAATGCACATGAATATACGTAACGGATGACCAGGATTACCAGGAACAAATGATATTAAAAATTTCACGAAGAATATAATTATGTAACGATTTAATGGTTTTGCTCTACGAGACTTGCAATTTTGTAAGGGCTTGAGCGCAGATTTAATTTTATCAGTACATATTCAATTGTGCCTAAATTGGGTATTCAATTGTGACTGTCGAAAATTTTCGAGTGCCTAGGAACTTGACGGGGCATAGGAACGATTTTCCGTTCACGTGTTTTCTAGGTCGATAGTCTTTGAACAAAAGGCTCATTTGAGAAATGAATTAAGAAACTCGTCGTTTGACACTTACTTCAAACGGGGATTGTCCTATTTATTTAAGGGTTCGGGCATATGTTAGACATAAAAAGGGATATCCTATAATAAAATTGCACGAGGTCCCTGATCAGGAAAGCATAAATCAATCACCAGATTCGGGACTTCTAACGAGTAATAATTGACATGTGAAGATAGCAGCATTTAATAGATACTATTTTGGGTTTGGATCAAGGTGAAGTCCCATAAAGAACGATAATATAGCATCTCTGATTATTAAATAGTATTAGCGAAGCTCATGGT